AAAAAAAAAAAAAAAAGAATGGAAAAACTTATTTGCAATGTCATGTCTTTTGTGTGGCCTTGCAGATGCACAGGCTCAGGAAGAGGTTGGAATTGTATTGTTTTAATGAGGCATGCATAGATACAGAAATGTTCCTTACCCATTTTTCATATCTTTACTCATAACCAGGGTACAATAGGGAAGTATATTCTAGAAATGTAGACAAGTACTAATTGCTTTATATTCGTATGTAACTATATATCTGTATATTCATATTCAGCATCATTCTGCTGAAATAAGTTATAGGTTGATTAGTATGTTTAAATTTAAAGGCGTTGGCTGATTAAGGGTAGATAACAATTAATATTACCTTACCAATAATTTAAAAGACATACTTAGCTTAGTGAAAAATCAAGACTTTCACCAAGATGTGTTCGTATTTTAAGCACTTGATATTTTGGGGTTTTCTCTTTGGGACTGGGGCTTAAAAATGACATCAAGGGATTTGTGATGCTGAGTGAAAAATGACTATCTTTAAAAAGACAGTCACTAAGAAAAAGTCACTAAGTCAGTCAGTTCAAATTCCAGAGTTTTAGAATTGAGTTATGCCTTAAGCAAGGGGTCTGGTGGTACTAAATGGCTATTTATTTATTTATTGAGCTGGAGCCTCAAGCTATCCCCCTGGGTAGAGTGCCATGGCATCACGCTCACAGCAACTTCCAACTCCTGGGCTCAAGCAAGTCTCCTGCCTCAGCCTCCCAAGTAGCTGGGACCACAGGCGTCCGCCACAACGCCCGGCCATTTTTTGGTTGCAGCCATCGTTGTTTGGCGGCCGGGCTGGGCATTCGAACCCTCCACCTTAGGTGTATGTGGCTGGCGCCTTAGCTGCTTGAGCCACAGGCTCCGAGCCTAAATGGCTATTTATAATCTTTCTCCAATATATTGTTCAGGATTGTTATAGATGTTAATTTGGTTAACTTCTTTATGTTAATGGTTTACACTGGTTTTATTTTTCGTTTATATTAGTTGATACAATGTCAAAGTTATTTTCTACTTGCTTTGAAATAGATTTTTAAAGCTTTTTTGTTTTTACAGAGGTAATATTATCAGCGATTATAAATATTTAAAATGATGAACTTGGCTCAGTGCCCATAGTTCAGTGGTTAGGGCCCTGGCCGCATACAATGGGGCTGGTGGGTTTGAACCTTGCCCGAGCCTGCTAAACAACAGCTACAACAAAAACATAGCCAACCGTTGTGGCGGGCACCTGTAGTCCCAGCTACTTGGGAGGCTGAAGCAAGAGAATTGTTGAAGCCCAAGAGTTTGAGGTTGCTGTGAGCTGTGATGCCTCCGCATTCTACTGAGGGCAACATAGTGAGACTCTGTCTCAAAAAAAAAAAAAATAAATAAATAAAATGATGAATTTTAATTATATTGCCATTTAAATTTTATTTACATTAATTCAATCATAAGCTATACTGTATAAACAGCTTTGTAATTTAATTACTTAACTAATTAATTTGAGATTAATATGAGGGTACAAATGATTAGGTTACATTGTTTGTGTTTCTTAGGTAATGATCAAGTTGTAGTTGAGCCCTTCATCCTGGAGGTTTGCTGTATACCTTTAGATTGTATCCATTAGGTGAGAGTTTAAGAATCCCTCTTCCTCCACGATCTCCCCTACAATGTGAATTTAATTGTGTTTTTCTCTCCTGTGGGCATATAGTTGTTCATCTACTGGTTTTATGTAGTATTGAGTACATTTAATATTTGCTTTTCCATTCTTGTGATACTTTACTGAGAAGAATGTGCTTCAACTCCCTCCAGGTTAATACAAAAGATGTAGTCTCTATCTCTTTTATGGCTGAATAGTACTCCATGGTATATACATACACCACAGTTTATTAATCCATTCATGAGTTGATGGACACTTGAGTTGATTCCACATCCTGGTGATTCTGAATTGAGCTGTGATAAACATTCTAGTTCAAATATCCTTATGAGACATAAACAGAACCTTCTCTGAAGAAGAAATATGAATGGCCAACAAACACAGGAAAAAATGCTCATTGTCCCTAATTATCAGAGAAATGCAAATCAAAAGCACCCTGAGAGAATAGCTTATGTCACAAAGTCCCAAAGCTGCAGATGTTGTTGGTGGAGAGAAGAAAACACATTTACACTGCTGGTGAGATTGCAAAATAATATGACCTCTATGGAAACAAGTATGGAGAACCCTCAAAGAACTAAAATTAAACCTTTATCTACCCAGAAAGAAGAAGAAAAATCATTTTACCATAAGGACATTTGCAGCTAAACTAACCACCATTTGGCAAATACTTGCTGTGTCCTGCTCTCAGCTAGGCTTCTGGGATTCAAAAGGGCAGGATCCCATTCCTAGACCCAAGACACTCAGGGCATCTTAGGGGAAAGATGCAGAGGTGAGAGCTTTCCTCTTTTTGTTTTTCTGGTGCTCGGCTAACTTGCAGGACATCCAGTTTGGCTGCACCCTGTGAATTTCTGTGCTGTGCTGTAGATAGCTTCCCACTCAGTTGCACTGGCAACCCAGACAGCTTCCCAAGCAGTCCCTTTGGCACCAGTGGCAGCTTCCTGGTCTCAGCAGCATCCCAGCACATGGCTTCCAGATTGTTCTGTCAGTTTTCCATCAGAGTTTCTGATGAATTTCACTGGATCCCAGTGGGCAGCTTTGCTTGTCAGCTCTGGACTGTGTCACTTCAGCAAACTTCCCTGCCATCCAGTGGGTGACAGCCACACCCAATTCAGTGAAGTCTGACTTCAGCCTTGCGGGTGGGGCAAAGTAAATGTCTCTTCCAAATTTGATTCTCCTTTTTCTGCCTTAGCATAGAGGTAATGGTTCCGTCCTTTATTTAGCGTTCTGTATTATGCAGAGTCTGCTTTACCCGTGAGTAGTTAGTTAATTCCCTGTTACCAGTTGATAATTATTTACATTAAACTCTCCCTGTTCAAGTTATCCTATGGTTTCATCTCCTGGCTGCTCTCTGACTGATGCAGAATCAACACTGAGATTAGTCCCAGGACATAAACCTACAAAGAAGGGATTTTGGAAGTGGTTTGGTTTTGTCTTTTGCTTGAGAATAGAGACGGGCCCCTTGCCAGTGGGAAATGGAATGCTAGCAATCCACAGCATGAAGTGACGTGGCAATCAGGCAGTCCCTGTGGCTGATTGTGGGGTAGTGCCAACAGGAACAAGCGTCTTGAGCAGCCAGGAAGCTGCTGCCGTGGTGGGGATGAGGACTGCAAATTCTCCAGTGGAGGATGCGCTCCCCCACTTCCTGGGAGCATCCACAGGAAGGAAATGTCAAGCTCTGGGAATCAGAGAGCTCTCATGATGGCCCTAAAAGAATAGATTTCTTTT